GGTGTAGTGATTTATATGAAGAGAAAATTTGGAAAATAAACATTTTTGTCAAAAGTAATAGGTATTTTGGACATTTTCATGCATTTTTTAAGAAGATTCTATCAAAGAGGGTCTATGTGTAGCTATGACAAAAAGTCTCTCATCGTTGTTGAAACCTCTCCTGAAGTTCGATAATTACAATCATCTTTCCTCAATTTTCTGACAGTTGCAATTAGAATCCCTTAGTTAAAATCTTTTAACAAGAGGCATGAAAATGTCCAAAATACCCGTGCAGTTACTATTGATGTTGGTTTCTATAGTAAAAACAACACAAACTTTATGAACAATAACAAAAAAAAGAGAGAGTTTAAAGTTATAGTTTTACCTTTGAGCGGGTTTATATGAAGGTAAAATTTGGAGAATAAATCAATTTCGGAAAAGAGATTAGAAGGGCTTGGGTAGTGATCAATATGAAGATAAAATTTGGAAAAAAACATTTTGGTAAAAAGTAATTGCATGGGCATTTTGGACATTTTGTGTCAAAAGTAATTGCATGCATCAAAATCTTTAGGGAAGGTTTTAGTAATTTATCCTAAATGTCAAGAAGAATTAAGAATTCTTACCATTCTACATCAAAACTTGATGAAAATACAAATAAGATAAATCATGGTTTTCAAAATCGGACCGGACCGGACCGGACCGGATGGTCGGACCAGAAAAACCAAGAATCGGTTCTATTTTACCCTAGAACCGTCATTTTGGCCAAAAACCGTTGATTTGGTCATAAAACTACTGACCCATGCATTTGAACCGTTTGAACCGCCCAGCGGTTTTTGGCCATTTTTAATTTCTTTAACTTTTTTTTGTCAAAACGTGCTGTCTGTTCAGTTTGAATGGTCAAACCGTTTGACTCGGGAACCGAACCCCTGAATGATTTGTTGTCCGATTCAGTTTTAAAAACCTTGAGATAAATAGAAGCTTAATTTCCTTCAATAGATCAAATTCTTTCGACCCAATTCATTTTTTTGGTAAATCATTTATCTAGGTACCCAATATATGTTGTTTTAACCAAAAGTACTTTTTCAAAAAATTCAACAATTTAACATTTTTATCCATAAAATTTCATTATTATTAAGAACAATCTTATCCTATAATTAATATTTTTACAACTTTTCCCAAATGGAAAAAGTTACTTATGCACATGAGAGATAAGCATAATTTATTTGGGTAAACAATACTCACAAAAAAAAGCAATTTATCACGAGATCCATATTTACCAAAATAGCAAATTGTTGATTCCCCATCCCATTTACCAAAAAATGAATGGGGCATTATTAGAGTAAAGCATTAAGTAGTTGGATGGAAACTTGTTGAGAATCATGAAACATATGGTAGAGAGGACAATTCACATAAGGAACTACCAAACAGGCATGGAAAACATTATGCTTTGAATCTCCTTGTTATGTGCTTCGTTTTTTCCATTTGAAATTCATCAGAGCCGAATTTTTGCAAGGTAGGGCCAGTTTGAAAATTGAAATTCCAAGATTTTCAAACTCCCCACCCTTGAACCAGTACAGTCAAGAAATTTCCTTTTTTTTTCCATGGATTCATTTATTACACAGCAGCCCAAACACTATCAATCTCTGGCTGATCTGATGGGTATTGGCCGTGTCGGTACTCAGGAGTCAAACTGACGGCCGAGAAATTGCTCAGCCATTTCTCTTGAACAGTGTCAGTGAGACATTCTCCACGTTCACTATATCCAAGAAAGAAAAAAACGTGTCAAACTCGTCTTTGCCTCTCTGGTCTTCCGTCTTCATTCATTCAGGCTATGCCATTTTTCTGTTAAACTTCTCATTCCATTTGGCCCGGTCATCGAATGAATGCGCTTTGCTCCCCCTATCTCTCTCACTTGCTAGTCGATAGTCAATAAATGGATATGGCCAGTGGACTCTTAAAGAATCATTCAATCTAAAAGTTTAAGCTGTTAGGTGAAGTTTTTGAATAGTTTGATATTTTCTATCATTCTCTTTCATATAAGGGTTTATTGGGTTTGAAGTATAAACTAGTACAGATCCACTTATACCTTAGGCTGAAACTTAATTAATTATAATAGGGACAATAAAAGTCGAACATTAGATCACTTAGTCAAAATAAATCTGATAGGGTCCTTGAATATACCATCCCAAAGTAACTCTAATGAGTATTGAACATTATACCATCTCAAAAAATCATTCAACCTAAAAGCTTAAACTAATTGTTAGCTGATAGGATCCTTGAATAAATTGATATGGATCTTTCTGTCTCACTAGAAACCTCAATAGAATAAAACGTGTCAAGCTCATCTTCACCAACTTCAGCTCTCAAGTATCAATAGAAATTTGAATTAAAAACCCATTAATGAATCAATACTCTCTCTCTGTCTTTATACATTTTGTTGTACAAAGGCAGACGTCATTGATGTCCCAGAGCATCTCGCAGTTGCTGGATGAAGGATACATATGGTTTGAAGTTTATATGAAGCATTCACATGAGGAGACTATTAGAGTAGCTAGACAAGACCTGCTGATGGACGTGGGTGGCCATGCCGCCCCACCAGCCTATATTTACGTGAGAATTATTCTCAGTCTTGGCCCGGCAGATCCCTGGGCCCGGGGGCTTGGGCTCTCAGCATTTGCTTTGTCCGGCCACCTTTTAATTCTTTTCTCCATACAAGGTTGACTCGGTTCTCAACTTCTGATGAGCACAACAGAGAGAACAAGAAGAAAGAAAAGAACACATTTACTTTGCGGCCCCTACTCACATGCTGCTGCATGAGAATGCTTTATCCCTTCCTTCACAAGAGAAATGACAAATGAGAAACTTTCCGGGAAGGACCAGAAATTTGGTGAGTGGTCTGACACGTAAAGATGAAGAACAAATGGTGCTGGTTCATGAACCAATGTCTCTAAATTTTCCAAGTTAGGGGGCGGTTTGTGGAGCCCTTCTCATGGACTCGACAAGAAAATTTCTAAAAGAGAGATATTTTATTTTGCTGTTAATGCTCATCTTAGTTTGAACCCCATTTCACCAAACCCAAACTCTTTCATCTGCTTTTCACATTTTTAACTTGGTTTTTCTGTTAGTGCTCTAGTGGCCCATCTCTACGATCGAACCAATAATTAAGCAGATCCTTCCTAAGTTCCTAGGTAGGGGTGAAACTCGGGTGCATGGGTTGGGTTTGGTTGAAGTTCAACCCAGGCCCGACCCTAAAGGTGTAAACATCGAGCTTATGCCTGGCCCAACTTGAGGTTAATCCCAAGCTTATCAATCCAAGGCCATCTTGAGCTTAATCCAACACAATTCGAGTTGGTTTGATTTCGGGCTATGTTGGGTCACGTTAGTCATGCTTGGATAAGTTGGTTAGGTTTGAAAGAATTTATGTATATATTTTTATATAATAATCTTTTATTGGATTTTATGACCCAAAACATGTATATATATATACATAATTAGGAAAAATATATTTTTATATAAATATAATATACATATGTATGTATTTTTTTGGGCGAGATCAGATTGGGTTGGGCCAAAATAGGGTCAGGCCCTCGGGCTACCTAAGGCTTCAACCCAAGCCCAATCGATACAAAAAATTTGAGTTGGGTCGGGTCGGGTCCGGATTGGACGCGCCCCAAGTTGCACTCATATTCCTAGGTTTCTACTGTGTGCAGAAGCTTGGTTGGACCCATCTTTGGCCTACATTTTGTTCACACAAACCCAAACCCCTTGTCGCCCTATTAACAGAACAGAATCAACAAAGTCAATCCACGTTATTCGTTGCGGAAAACGTGGGAAGGAGCCATGATATTTGAGAAGAACGGTTAACGCAGAGTTGGGGTAAGAGGAATATTATCCACCAACTCGCTTTCAGCTTGGTCTAATGAAGTTGAAGGTTAACCAATCTAATAAGCTTCTGAAGAAAAATGGCAGAAGGAAAAGACCCACTTAGAGCCTATCTATTCCTATTCTATCTCCAGTAACGTAAGGGAAAAGCTAAGCTTGAAGCTGTTGGGGGAAGTGGGAACTGGGAATCTCTCACACAGACACACAAGAAATAAGTAGGGACTACAGAGATCTACCCACCATTCAATTCAACCACTCCCACTTATAGCTCTTCTTCTTAATGAACAGAGACTCGATCAGACTATAAACAGATAGTTACAACTTACAACTTAGAACTATTTTGTTAATTCATCAAACTGGGCCATCTCTGTAGAGTGTCTCAGCCCTGTAGAGAGAATCATTCTACACGGTTTCTTCTTCTTCTAGTAAGCTTACTCTGACAAGGGCTTTAGTTTTAGATTCTTTCTTCTTTCTTTTTTTTTTAATGTGGGTTCTTTCGATCTGGAGGAAAGGAGCCATTATTTCATGTGATGTCATGGTTGGGTCCCGCTGCCAGTTGTTATTACGATTTCATGACTTCATGAAATGCAAAGAATGCTGTTGTAGGCTGTATTCTAGGGTGATGAGATGACCAACTTGACGATTAATTTATTTTCAGAACCCAGTCAGGAATGATCAAACGGTTTCGTTTGGATTATTTACTGTGAGGAACCAAAAAGCAACAAACAAACAACTACTCCTTCCTTAGAATTCAAAAACGCGTAATCTCTCTCTCTCTCTCTCTCTCTCTCTCTCTCTCTCTCTCGTGTTTAACACTTGTAACAATTTGAGGGCCAAAGCGCTGAAGTCTCACGGGATGATCGAGAGACAGGATCCCGGGCATCTTGGCTTTTACTAGAGCTTCATTTCGTTAATTAAATACCTCCAACTCACCAAGTTACGAACTACAGTGTTTGATTGAACCAATCGTGTGCATTCAGAATGAAAATTAAAATAGAAGTAATAAATACATTTTCTTCATTTAATTTTTTCTGAGTTTCTTACAGTTTTACATCTCTCTTCTTCTTCTTCTTCTTCTCCCTGAGTTTCTACCAACCAACCAGTAAATGCTCTCTTCTCTGAAGAGCGAAAAAAAAATTAAAGACGAAAATCCCTTATAATTATATTCCTGTACAGTTCCCTATCATGAAATTGTAGTATAACCTACCGGCCGAGAAAAAAATTATGTAAAGAAAATCCAAAACTGTGAAAGAAGAGAAAAAGAATAAATGGAGATGGGAAGAGAAGATTCTAATGTCCTACTCCGGGACTGGGTACAGACTGTAGACTCCGGTCGGCCTTGGGAAGATGCATGGAGAAGAGTTTCTGGTCGACAATCACGGAGTGACCCTTGTCGCTCGGGGCGGAAGGTGGCACTGCGCCCTTCGGAAGGGCACTTAGGACTAGACTGTCTCTCAGAGCCGCAGGAACTTTCTTCTTGCTCTCCATTTTCAGGAGCTTCCTTGCTTCCAGAAAGGGTGCAAAGCTAGCGAATAAAACAAGGAAGAGAACCAGCGAAGCAGTGACAGAGCGAGCCATTTGAAGTGGAACTTGGAAGAGATGTTCAGAAACACAAAACGTGGAGTCTGGACTCTGGAGAGGAGAGGTTTTGAAACCAAGTTAAAAGCTGTAGAGCAATTGGAGTCTGCAGAGGTTCTAAATTGTTGCCATGGGGCATGGGCGAGCTCCTATATATAGTCTCCTACGGGCTTCGGCCGCGTGTTAAGTCCTCCGAGGCCAGGTGCGTGGAGATCAAGTTAGGTTGAGGTTTTGGCCTTTGGTCAAACCACAAATTTTTTTTTTCATTCTGGATTTTTCCTCTCTCTCTCTCATCTGGGTGTGTGGAAATGACCACGTGGAGGTTTGAAATGGTGATTTTGAGCCAAGGAGCCGGGCCGCCGGCGGTGTCTCCGCTTTCTTTGTAATTTCTGCCAGCGTCAATCTTCGCCAGATTGACTGACTCCAAAGTTGAAGCTTTGAAGTCCTCGAGTCTCAACTCTCAACTCAACTCGGCCCGCCTTGTCTGTTGTCTGGGTCGACTTATTAATAAAATCAACCTTGATTTCAGTGAGACAAGACACGAGCAGAAGCCCTGAAATTGCGGTCTACAAGTACGGATTTCACTTGAAAAGAAGATTAATTTATTGCTATTTTCACCCCCTATCATACTTTTCTTTTTTTTTACAGGGGTAATAGCATATAAAGGCAATTTTTGGGTTTAATATCAATAAAAAATAATATATTTAAAAATAAATTAGTTTTTTTAAAATATTATCAATAAAAGGTAAAAATAGTATATTGTGACTACGTTGGTAGTTTTTGTTGGCAAAAGCTAAGAGTCTACTAGGACCCCCACTTGGCCACTACCCATGAAAAGGGGTTGGGTCGGCCAGTGTAATTGCCACATGTCCTCCATTAGGAGGGCTCAGGGTTGGGACCCATCATTGAATATGGGTCTTAGTTGGACCAGAAATAACTTTATACCTGATTTTTGGAATGGCTCTCTCTTTGTTTAGACAGCTGGGTCCTCATCCTTCTCATTAAGTGGAGTGGCAGCATTAACTTCACTCTCATTTTTACTGTGCGTAAACAGTGGGTGTGGGTGTAGTTACATCAAAGAGAAAAGTCTCAGAATATTAATTATGCTTATGTCTTGGTAATTTGGCATAGCTTGGAGACTTGACCAGAATGGCTTGACAAATCAATTTTCCAAGCTTCATACGCGATGTGATGGAATATTTGATTGTTAGAACAATAACCAACGGCCTGACTCCTCTATCCCTAATCAATGAAACAGTACTCTCTAGTCAAACAGCAATAAGGGGAGAGTGAAAATTGGGTCACCTGAATTCCCCATCAATATTCTCACTCACTCTCCTTTCTCGCTAAACGTCCATTAATTCTGTATTTGGAGAAGGAAGGTAGCCAAGTCAATGAAGTCTATCTGTGGGGGGTTACTGGTTAGGTCGGTCTTCACCTTCTAAAATCTGCTGGCAACAAACTGATACCCACCTCTAATCCCTCCTCGGTATTCCAGCTGTAGAGTTTATATCTCCGCCCTACAGCGCCCCGCAGCATATCCCCACTGTGTATTGAAAATATTTTCCACTGATAATATCAGTTCTGATGATGTCATCATCGAGAGATATTTTAAATGCACGGCGGGAATGTGCTATAGGGCGGAGATGTGATATTCCAGCTGTAGTGATGATCTTGTATTCATAGATACCTACCAAAGAAAAAAGGGTTGTCATCCTGCTATTTTCAGTACGATTCTGTAAAAGCCTCAACAGCTTGCCTAAAAGCATCCCTCCAATCCGCTCTTGCTGCATGACATGTAAAGGAAAGCAGCTGACAGAGCAAATTGGTGCTGCCGAAGTATGAGCTGGTGCAATGCTAAGGTGGGGACTGGGGGGTGGGGGGGGGTCCCTGCCCCTAGCTAAAGGTGGTGGTGGTCCAGTAGTGGTTTGGCCTCCAGCTGAGCAAGTGAGACACATTATATATCTGCAATGACTTTTGTTACATGCAGGAACAAGTGGGGTTGCTACCATTGGCGATTCAACACGCATCAATCATCATTTTTTTTTTTTCTTTTTGTAAAGCTAGGCTGCTTAATTTTCACAACTCAAGAAGGGTTAGCTACTAGCTCTCTTCCAGTCTTCCTCCACCATGCAAGGGAGAGAGAGAGAGACGTGCTTGATTCGGATTTGATAATGGATGGAGAACATAAGTGGGTCAATCAAGAAAATGTCAATGGGTTGGGTTAAACGGTAAACCCGACTTGACCCAATCCCATAAGGTCATGTTAGCTTAAATAAGTGTAGGGTTTTGATTCTTTAATCCAAAACGGGTTTCGGTTCGCAAACCTGTCCCACCAAGTCATTATACCCCTATATATGTATAAGGTATTCTTTTAATTTGTTATGACTTCCAATAAGAATGCAAACGGATCAGATCGGATTCGAAGATCCGACTATTCATGTCGGATTCAATCCGATGTGTCGGATCTTTAAATCCGATCTGATCAGATCTGATAGGACCGATCTGAATTCGAATCTTATCGAATCTTTGGATCTGATTTGATCCGACTTGTTTTCCTCAAAAATTAATAAATTATTAAAAAAAAAGATAAAATATATTAATTTAAATAAAGAAAAAACAAAAAATACAATTATTTTTTAATTATTTTTATTATATATATGTGTTTTTTATAAAAAAATAAATAATATAACAAATTTATAAAAATACAATATAAATAATATATTTATAAATAAATAAATAACATATATATATATTTATATTTATAAATATATAACACACATCAGATCAGATAGGGATGATCCGAATCCAATCCAATCCAAAGATCCGACCAGGGGTGATCTGAATTCGACCAAATAAAATCGAATCGGATCATGATCCGATCCATTTGCACCCCTAACTTTCAACTCCATAACCTTAAAGTTCAAGATTTATTTCATGTTTATTTTGATTTTTCTTCTTTAATTATTGGAGGAAGTAATACCTTAAAACTTATAAACAGAACCGAATAAACCATAATTTTTAAAACCAAACTTAAAAAAAATCGAACTGAAATAATGAAAAATCAAAACCAAAATTTTCAGTTCAGTTATAAATATAAAGTTCGGTTATTTCGGTTTTTTCAGTTAACCGAATTTCATAACCTAAAATCCAAAACCAAAATCAAAACTTTGTGAAGCTAAATTAATCAAACCAAATTAATTAAAAACCAAAATAACCATATTGAAACCAAAATTTTCATTTTTTAATTTTAACCGAATAATGCTTACCCTAGCTATGAACTAATATCTTTGGATGTTGCATGTTATTGGATTGGGTTTGGGCGGTAACAAGTAACATGGGAGGGTTGGGTTAGGGTTAAGACAAACCCAAACCCGTATCGAACCCAACCCATTGACCGACTTGGGCATGCAGAATTTGACATGAAACAGTAAATTAAATAGAATTTCCGTTCCATGTCTATCTTCTTCCCAACTCACATGTGTTTTAATGTTAGTGAGATAAGGCATGAGAAAAATAGGGACGGAAATGGACCTTGGTTACATGGTCAAGACTAAAATCTAACTGAGAAGGATGTGACAAAGTTGGGCGGATTCATGAACGGTCCCAATCTTGGACCACCATTGGAGTTCCACCTTTAAACCTCTACCCCAACCCCAGCTCGTATGATCGTATCGTATGGGGCAGCTACGAGAGCCGGCCGGCGAGTGTGAATTAATGGACTAAATTAAAATATAAAATCAAAGCCGATCGAGACAGCTGATGGAAACAAAACCCAAATCAACAAACAAAAGCATCAGTACTAGCTCCCAGTGCCAGCACAGGTATATTTGTTTGTTTAATTTATTAATTATAAAAAGGCAAATGCCTAAAATCTGAATTAAATTCAATCTCCGTTCACACAATTGGACCCCCTATTGACAAAAAATGAGAGCTAGCCTATCAGGATTAAAAACGGATTGATGATGTTTCCAATTCCAAAAAACCACCAATCTCCAATGTATCATCACTTTGCAGGGTCCAATTTCATATATACCCATAAGAAATCAGTTCACATTGGCAATTTGACGAACACCCCCCACCCTTAAAATAAGAAAAACTGAGCTTTGCCATTGCTTTCACTTCCTTGTCATCTTTATGGGCCTCAATCTTCACCTGTGTTATCTGAGTCAGATCAGAGTAGATGGTCAGACCAGTGACCTTTCCAGGTTAAATTGTGGTTTTTGATGGTTTGTACAGATTGAACGTGTTTTTCAATGTGAATTTATTTTTTGTAAGTTCTAAAAACATCTACATTGTAGAATACCCCCTAAATCAATCTTTGGTTTTCTACTATTTGTTAGTGGGGTTCCAGATTATAAGCAATGGTAGTTATAGTAATGTCTGGATATTTTCCACTAATGAATATCAATTTCATGGATGGTAGAGATTTCTCAAGAACTGTTCTTGAGAATATGCAAAGCTTGTGGTGATTAGGACCTAGCTAATTGATAGAACCATCTTCATGCAGTGGAAGAAATATAAAATATACCATGCAAGAGGTTTCGTGTTCAATGCTCTTGAATTGCTTGATGGAGAAATCCCTGCAGAGTATTTGGTAGGCAAACAATCCAAAACCCACTTTGGAATTTGGATGGGGACAGCTTCAAATGGTGACCACCAAATGAGGGTAGGGATTTCAATACATAGAGTCCTGGTTTGCTTAAATTCATGAATATGATCAAGCAGTTGACCACCCCTAAGAAAAAAATTGCTTAAAATATAGCTAGCTGGAGTGGTGGGTGAGGGTAATGATTTTGACAGGACCCCAAATGTCTGATTCATCAATGTTTAATGGCTAATGCTTCTTGAGAGTTGAGACAATGTTTAATGGACAATGTTACTTACTTGTTAGAACAAGTTAGTTTGGTATGTCACGAAATCGGATTTGGGTGTCACCTTTAGAAGATCTAGCTTACTGTATTGGAAATCCTCTATGTCTGCTTAATTGGCATGAGCAACACAAATTTGAATAGAAATTTCTCCACCCTCCCTCCCTCCCTCCCACAATCTATGCATTACTCCAAACTAAAGATGGACTAATGGATAGCCTAATATATCTTTGGAAGGTGTTCAGTATTGTGATATATTCATTATTTGATG